GGGAATTTACCCCGGGACAATGTACCCCGGCACTTTTCCCCGGACAATTAACCCCCGGACGTTTACCCCCGGACAATTTACCCCGAGAATGTAACTACCTTGGTTTTTATTATTCATTGTATGAACGAGTGATACAGGACAGGACGGCTCGAGGAGGAGGGAGAATAGGTGAGTGGAGCGAGGAGGGGGAGAGGTGGGGAGATGGCTGGAGGCGGAGGAGAGCAGGAGGGGGTGGGAGGAGGAGGAGGACGAGGCGGTGGAGAACGAGAGGGAGGGAGTAACGTGGAGATGAACGTGGCTGAGAGGATGCAGGAGGGAGGGAGAAGTGAGGAGGAGAAGGGCGGACACCGCAAGAGGTGGCGGAGGAAGGAGCACCGGACCCCGGTGCTGGAAGGAGAGGGAAGGCGGTGGAGGAGAGTGACGGTAATGGAGGAACGTGGCGAAGCAACGGTGAGTGGAGGGAGGGGAGGCGGGAGTCGCAGCGAAGAAGTGGAGGAGGAGGAGCGGGGGGGCGAGGAAGTGGAGGAGGAGGAGAGGAGGGTTTAGAAGGACGAAGAGAACGGTAGAGGGGAAGGAGGGAAGAAGAAGAGTGGATGCGAGGAGAGGAAGGGAGAAGAAGAGGAGCAGGGGAGGTGGAGGGGGAGGAGGAGGACGGAGGAGAGAAGAAGAAGAGGAGAGTAGGGAAGTGGAGCGAAGGTAGAGAAGGGAGGACGGTTACGCGGCAACAAGGGGCCCCCACGCGGTGGTGAGAGGAGGGGAGAAGGTGGTGGCTGGAGGGGAGGAGGAGGAGGAGGAGGAGGAGGAGGAGGAGGAGGAGAGGGAGGGGAGGTGATTGAGGTGGAGGAATGGAGGAGAGAGAGGAGGGTCGGAGACAGGAGCAGGAGATGGAGGAGGGAGGGGGGAACGTGGGGGAACGGTGGCGGAGCAAGGGAAGGGGAAGAGCGAGGAGAGGGTGTGAAGGACGGAGGATCGATGAGGTGGAGCAGGAAGCGAGCGAGAGAGAGAGGAGGGCGGACTATGGAGGAGAAGGACGGTAGAATGGCAAGGGGACCCACTATACCTCTCTACCTCATCACTCCCGCTCCTCCTCACTCCAACGTTCCCTCCTCCTGCCTCCAATTCATCCTCCTCCTCCTCACCTTCCTCTTCCTCCACCTCACTCTCCTCTCCCCTCGCTCCTACCTCCTCCTCCTCACTCCAGCCAACTTCTCCTCTCACCACTGGCCCTCCGCTACCCTTCCTCCTCTTAACCTCCTCACGCTCCTCCGCCTCTTCCTCACTCTCTCCTCCTCTTCTTCTCCTTCTACCTCCACATCTACTCTTTCTCCCTTCCTCTATTGCTTCTCTCGTCTCAATCTCCTCTCCTGCCCCTCCTCCTCCACCATTTCTCCCCCCCTCAGCTTTCACACTTCTACCCTACCATCTATCCACCACCCTTCTCTCCGTTCTCTCCTCACTCTCCTCCAGCACTCACTCTCTCCTCACTCTCCTCCTCACAACCTCGCTCTCTTCCTTCCTCCCTCCTTCTCCTCCCTCCACGTTCTTCCCCTCCTCCTGCCTCTCCATCTTTCTCCCCTCTCCTGCATTCATCATCCACCAGCGTTCTCCTCCTCGCTATCACCTCTCTCCTCTCCTCCTCCTACCTCATCCTCGCTTCCGTCCTCACCACTTCTCCCACCTTCTCCCCCCTGTGCATACCTCCAACACCTTTCTATCTCCTCCTGACCTCCTGGCTGTATCCCTGGTTCAACAATGATAATAAACACCAGTGAGTAAATGTCCGGGGGGTAATTGTCAGGGTAGGTAATTGTCGGCGGGGGGATAATTGTCCGGGAGGTAGATTGTTCGGAGGATGGTAAGTTGTCCGGGAGAGTAATCTGACCAGTGGGGTGCTTGTCCGGCGGGGCTCGCCGGGGTGAATGGCTATGGGGGTAATGTCCGGGGGTAATTGTCGGGGGGTAAATTACCGGAGGGGTAAATATGTCGTGCGGGCGTAATTGTTCCGGGGTGGTAATATTGTCGCGGCAATGGTATATTTGCCGGGTGAGGTAAAATAGTCCCGGCGGGGTATTGTCGGGGGTATGTCCGGGATGGTGACTTGTACGGGGCGGGTGAATGGACATGGGGAGTGTATTGTCGGGCCGGTATTTGTTCGGCGGGGTAAATGTCATGGAGGGTAATTGTCCGGGGGGGGTAAATTGTCGTGAAGGGCGGTAAATCGTCGGGAAGTAATTGTCCGGGCATTAGGGTAAATGTCCGGAGGTAAATTGTCCGGGGGGGAATTGCCGACGCGTAATGGTCCGGGGAGGGTATTCTCCAGGGCGGTAATGTGCGAGGGGGCTGATTCGGTTCGGGGGTACAATTGTCGGGGAGGTAGATGATATGAAGGGCAGGTAAATTAGTCCGGGGACAAAGAAAGTGATAGATACCGGGGTGAAATGAAGACAACACTGAGCCGAAGAGATAAAATAGCATGGGGGGGGGTATATTGTTCGGGTGATGGTAATGGTCGGGGCGGGGTAAAATTGTTCCGTGGGGGGTATTTCGGGGGGTATTTAGTACCTGAGTCGTCATATACTACTACTTAATGTCGACACACACCGTTTATTTTGGTAAGATGATCACATTAATTCACAGGTTCAGACATCTGCGATTGTAAACTTAAGTTTTCGTTGACAACGCCTGAGAATAGGCGCCGAATATCAAGACTAGATGATACCACGAGGTAAGTGCTCAAACTGCCACCGCTCGTTGAAATGGCTCAATGGCGATCTACAGTTGAATATGATGATTTAAGTACAAACAGTCTTGTCGTACGTTAGTTATTGTGTCACAATCACAAGTGTGCATGCAGATGTTGCGCCATGGGCACGTGGAGTATAAGTATGGCGACGTGGTTAAAGGAATGTACTGAAACTGATCGCGAAATTGTAATATATTTACTGAACGAATTATGCTGGGCTTTAAAAAATCCGGTTAACTTCACTCAATGACGCGGCTTCAAACAGCGCTTGAATCAGCGCAAATATTGTACACTTTTCTACGGACTCGCTAATAATACAATTGTTCTACTGCACTCACCGCCGATACACTGACATAAACGGTGGAATTCTTTCGAACATCGAAAAGAGTTCACGAAGCGCGTCTTGTTTGAATTATATGAGCTCACGTAATAACGGCAAAGACAAGTTCACGAAAAACAAGGAATCGACGTCGTCGTTGACTGTTACAGGGCGGTGACCGTTAGAGACTCGAGAAACCAGGAGCTACCAACGAGAAACAGGCGGTCACGCACGCCAAATCGGCAATCGCCCGCTCAAAAGCATGGACGCGATCGTTTTTGAGCAAGTTCGCAGAGAGGACGCTACGATGTCGCACCGAGACAAACTGACACTCATCTTCGATTTTGTAAATTGTCGCCTCTCGAGTCGCGAGAGCTCCTCCATACAAAATGGGCCGAACACGCGTGCTGACCGTAACTGGATTCTTTCGCGCTTTCCAAGCAGCTGGTGTTTGCGCACATCTTGTTCTAGCGCTTGAGTGAGATGTGCGGCCCGTAGGGCGGCCGGAACAATTTTAACTGTCGGAAAGAACACGTTCGCATTAAATGCCAATAATGACATTTTCAAAGCATCTGAGAAATGCCCGCCTGCACGGTTGCTTAAACCGTCACGGCCTCACTCCATTGCGAAACAGAATGTTACCATGCGACGTTTCAAATTCCTATCTACACTTCGATGAAAGGCGAGTACGTACGTTATCCGAGCTGATCCAAATCCTTATTTAACATTCTCCAGCCGCTCAAATCCGAGGTCTTTCTGCGGTAAACAACTGTCGCTTTGTGTCGCTGCAAAAATTTTTCACGCCTACACACCTTAACTCTCATCTCGAGAAGCCATCTACGTCGTCACTGACATGGAAAATAGTAACATTCACACGCGCACGCAACCGCCCAAACGGGGCACGCACGCCAATCGCGCACGCACGACCCAGCGCCTACACGGCCACAGGCCCGCACGCACCGCGCCACCGCGCACGCATGTAACACGCACGCACACACACCAAACGGCCGCACGCACGCACACACACAAAACGCACGACGCACGTACGCACGCACAATATACAGCATACAACATACACACACTTCGTAGCTGTGCGATTAAAGCGTATACGTCAAGATAGGACGACTCGCATGCGCAAGTTGTAGTAAGGTGTGGTTTCTCACTAGAATGCCGGTAGATCACTACAGAAGCGGTCGCATTCACATCATCACTCTATACAAGCGTCGGTAACTAACAAGAAACATTACCCTTTCAGTTCGATTAATTGCGCACACGGACCGACCTCGCTCATTTCGGTAAACGATACATAGAACACATCCGTACAAATTCGATCCTGACTATATAGCTACCTATACCTTATCTATATAATGCTATACATAGCTAACCGTTATATATATACCTAGCCCTATACCTAACCTTCTGATCGCTCGCATACCTACACTTATACCCATACCCATACATATACCTATAACCATACCTGTACCTACCTATACCTATACCTACCTATATTTATATAACTTATGCACCTATAAGCCGCGTTCACACGGAGCGAAAATGCCGGGTCGAAAACGATCCGAGACTGACCCAGATCAAAAACGACACGGGTCAATTTTGAAGAGAGCGTTCACACGACATTTGATTGATCAGTTCTAGCAATCAAACTCTGGCTCTCGACACTGGCAACGTCTACCGCTGTACTAATTCTGTCCCGGGTCGTGTGTCGGTGCGCGTTCACACGGCAAAAATGAACCAGCGCTCGGGTCGTTTTCACACCCACTATGGAGAACTTTTCACCACTTTTCGTACCGAGAAAACGTCCATGTGAACGCTTGGCCCGGGACGCATTTGACCCGTCCGAACCGTACCGTACCCGTCAAATTGCTCCGTGTGAATGCAGCTATAAACTATTACGGTGCTTCCAACGAGCAGGTTACTTACCCAGAATTCCTTGCGAGATGTCGGAGGGCAGGGGAGTGCGGAACACGGCCCACGGTATCTTCGCCTCTCGTGCGTTGTTGCACGCCACCTGGTGAGGGCGCTGCCATCGTATTGACGCGTCCTTGCCCGGCTCCGTCGGATCATAGTAGAGCGACTTGAGGCTGGGTGGGAAGGAGTCATCAACGAATGGCTCGTGGTTCTGCACAAGAGAAAAATGAAAGGATCATGTAGCTTTTCTTCACACCCGACCGAGATGTTTAGTTTTCACTACTTCCGGTTCCATTCATTAGATTGGTACAATTCGCAACATCAAAGAGTCTATCCGAGCTATGCGACAACGATTTCTGTTATTTTGTTGACGCTATGTTTTATACTCCCGCGAAACTGCAAAATCTTCATGTAAATTTCATATGTAAATATTCATCCCACTGTTGAACCACGTGTTTAACTCTCGCAGTGCCACCTAGACTAGACTGCAGGTCCAACGTGTTCAAAATCGTCTGACTCGGCATCAAGCCCACCTTTTCAGTATACTGGTAGACGCGAAACTCATAATAAACTATCATAATGAATGCTTGCTTATGACAATCTACGTAGAGTGCTCTGCTACTGTATTTCCAGCTCCATTGCAGCTGTGACGCTTAATTAGGCAGTACACATTAAATCAGGTCCACGGGGAACAATATGTTTTTCTAGTGGCAATTAACAGCGATTGCCGTGCTGTTACCGTCCCTGTTCTCGCGTGCATGAAAAGCCTGCCGTAATTAGTAGGAGTGCTCTAATTAATGTAGCTTTACTGCTGCGATAAGGTGAATGAATGTGTCACTGTCATTAGTAGCTGCTTACAGTGATTACGTCACCGCGAATAGTATAATGGAATTTTTTTTTTAGCAAAATACTAACTTTAAAAATAGAAGTACGGATTTGTTCACCGTTTGCAATTGAATCGCTGCTTTATTTGTAGTTTCGTCTGATGTAAGCAACCAGCCGCGACTTATGCATGGCGCTGATAGCGGACGAATTTGGTGCGTATAATTGTATACAATCAAATTAAGCATTAATTTTGCATCGTTAAATGGTTTACAAAATTATTTGCTAAGAATTTCAGAAAAGATTAATGTTATCAGTTATTACATTTCTGTTAACAAAGGCACAGAATTTCCACAGATGCACACCTCCTACGCCTCGTGAGTCTAAGCCTCTCCTCTCCTAATCATTTAATTAGTGCTATTATATATAAAAGAGATTATATCGTATATAAATACCCACTGCGATGTATTTGAAAGAGGCGGAGTTGGCTTCTATTTACTTCACTAATTCTCCATCCATTCAAATTATTCAAAACCGAAGCTGTATCTTAATTACGATGATCGCAGGTGTTCATTGCCTGTTTGTCTCGACCTTATATTTGCTCCCGACTGCATGGATTTACCCGGTCGTTATTCGCTCGCTGACCGCTGCTCGCTTTCTTCGTTCTCACGTCGCATTATGTTAGAAAATTCGTACGCATTCTCAAAACGCTTCCCCCCCCAATCGCCCACCCGCCGAGCTGCCTCCGCCACCCACCTCCTCCTGATGCGCATTGAATTTTAATCACGCAGACTTTGCTCGAGAGCGCACAGTGACACGCGCGCTGCATGCAAGCAACCTGTGTGATTGCTCACATCACCCGGTGTGACATCGCCCCAACACCTCCTACACTCTACAATTACAAGCCGAAATAACGATGCACATGTCACCGTAGGGCCGTAGCATATCCGCAGGGTTCTGATATCGTGAAACATATTAATAGACCGGGACGCGGTCGGGGGTGGTGACGTCACAGCGACAGGTGACACTCTAGGTGGTGACAGCGCACGTCATTCACTGATGAGATGAAAGCCGGAAGGCCGCGGCCAGCGGCGCGAACAAACTAGCCAGACACCTACGCGACCCCCCGCAATCCGCCCGTCGCCAACGCTATTGCTTTTCCCAGAACGAGATTCTAAAACGCGAGCGATTTCATTTATTTTACGAACAATACGGAACAGCGACGTTTTTATTTTCTTAACCTTCACTCTATATAGATGGAATTCCTCCGTGATCACGCCTACCCCGCGGTTATCTTCAAAACACAAAAATTGCATTTCGTCTGTTGGTCTGCTCGCGATATCCATAACTCGCAGACTAACGCATTAAGCTTTAGTCGTTGGTTTGACTCGCGTGGCCCCTGCCACAGGCTAGGACGCCCCCTAGACACGGGTTTCTTCGCACACAGCAGCTAGCTGACGCGATTCTGTACCCGCGCCAATATCTCCCCAGTATTTATAATGACAATGGTGGCAGAGCTCCCGTTGCTGTCAATATTTGTCGGGGAAAACCCATTACCGAAGTCTTCTAAGATTACACGCGTTTACTACGGCATATATACGCAGCATATCACCCAGCAAGGTTTTTTATCTATACATTCCGAAATGCACTCGACGCGAAACATAGCTTAGCATGTAAAGCGAATATGACGGCAATTCCCCGTACGACCTCACGGCTGTTAGAGCGTGTATACGAAGAGTAATCCACTAGAGGAATGAGATCAAAGTTATTGAATATGTTTTCGGGGGGTATAACTCGACATTATAGTTCGGGGGGTAATATAACTCGACATTAAGTCTAAAAGCCATTGTTGCCATTTACGAGCCCTCGTAAGCATTATGACAAGGATTTTAGGCTTAATATAGCCAATAACGTGGATAAAACCCGTACATATATTTCACTTTTCATAAAATGCGTCTTGTATGCGTTATTGACTCATCACGCTCTCCAACCGGCCAGTGCTACCTAGACGGGTCCTCGGCAATTCGTTCAACACGACCGCGCCACGTGCAGTCGCAGATATACAGGTGGCCTTCCCCCACGACTATTCGATATGTAGAAGTCCTCATCCGATATGTAGAAGTCCGATGTGTAGACTCATATAGACGGTCGCTCTCCACTCGCGCCGCCGTCACTCGCGTACAGACCGTTCATCAGAGCGTGATATTGCAGTAACGTATATCACTCACTGCGTTTCAATATCCTCACTAACCGCGCATCTAAATAAAGATGCCACGCATGCAAGTAATATATATGTAATCGCAGCTGCGGTATATGATACGAAGCATCATTTGCAAATAGATGGAAAATCAGTAAGACCCGTGGGAAGAAATTTGCAACTAAATAAGAATGTACATTAGAGAGGTGGTGGGGGGCTCACTGGGGCACGCGCGTCTACGTGCGCAGAAAAAATTAATTGTCGAAAACGTGAGCGCACGCAGGCCGCATGCATCCTCATGAGCATGCAGCTAGTGCAAGTCTCGTGTGTTGTTAAGGAGCGTGTCAAGTCTCGCGTGCATGTCTCGCGTGCGTTAAGGAGCGTGTCATATGAGCAAGGAGACTATCATACATAATAACATCAGGAGTGTCATAAGATAGACTATATAATTATTATAGTCTTATATTATATCTATATTATCTATAATATTATATCACTATTATATATATATAATAGTAATATAATATAGATAATATATTATTATATAGAATATTATTATATATAGTCTATATAATATTATGATACTCATGATAATATCATACGCTCGCAGGTGACCCGTTACGTATACGAGAACATTCCGCATACGTTCCCCTGACGGATACTGTCAGTATAAGTCACCACGCAGCACAGCAGCGGTACATAACGGCAAGCGTGGCGTGACACGCACACAAGCTATAGCAGCACCGCGGATACGTTACGCATCAAGAGCATATAAAGAAGGAATATAAGTATATATATATATATATATATATATATATATATATCCTTCTTTATATGCTCTTGTACGCATGTATGCGTGCAAACAAGCCTCAGACGACGGGCGCCATGCGGACCCGACGAAGCCGTCGGATAGTGCGTGCACATCGCGTGTAGTATGCATGCGTGCGCGCGCACACGCACACACACACACACACACACAGGAGGGCATCTATTCATCGGCGCTCCATCGCAGACACGCACCTGTATGAAGCGTGCGGAGAATATGACACGGACATTACGAGACGGAGAACATGACACGGGCTTTAGGAGACGGAGAACATGACACGGGCTTTAGGAGAAGGAGAACATGACACGGACATTAGGAGACGGAGACCATGACACGGGCTTTAGGAGAAGGAGAAGATGACACGAAGGTTACGAGACGGAGAACACGACACGGGCTTTAGGAGAAGGAGAAGATGACATGGAGGTTACGAGACGGAGAACACGACACGGGCTTTAGGAGAAGGAGAAGATGACATGGAGGTTACGAGACGGAGAACACGACACGGGCTTTAGGAGAAGGAGAAGATGACACGGAGGTTACGAGACGGAGAACACGACACAGACATTAGGAGACGGAGAACATGACACGGAGGTTAGGAGACGGAGAACATGACACGGAGGTTAGGAGACGGAGCACATGACACGGACATTAGGAGTCGGAGAACATGACACGGACATTATGAGACGTGAACATGACACGGACATTACGAGACGGAGAACATGACACGGATATTAGGAGACGGAGAACACGCAGGTTCACGGGAAACTAACTACTACCCGTGCAGCTAGCTATCTGCCTCTCGTTAAGGTTCCGTACATCTTGCACTTTCACGCGTTTACCGCTAATGCGCAAACACATTAGTGCAATTTTATTCGATTTGTTCACCCAGACAGCTCGCCTCTGCCAGAAATAGATCTTTACAACAGTAAAACACACTTGTCGATATATGGCTGACATTTGTCATACGACACCTAGATATACAGTCGTAACATGATATGTTTGTAATCCTCGCCTAACCGAATTAAGTTAGCAAACATTTGACAGAAATTGATTCTTAAAAAACAGAACAAATGATTCTTCAGTGCTACTTTAACTACTAGTAATACTACGACTACTGCTATATACGGCTACTGCTACTGCTACTGCTACTGCTACTGCTACTGCTACTGCTGCTGCTGCTGCTGCTGCTAGTTTGTGTGGGTGGTTGCGTGCATACGTACGTACGTGCATGCATGGGTACACAGCGTGAACACAACAAATGGATAAAAAACAAGTTTCACAGTCGAATCCCAGCAATGAAGGTTAATACCGCCCCCTTGTGCTATCGCCTAGTCAGGATTCCTAGATTGCGTTCTCATCCCCATCA